GGGAAAGAAAGGGAAAAGTTTGGTTTAGTAAAAAAGAGCACGGAACTTATAGTGCAAAGCATTCAGACATCTACAAATTTTTTATACCATGTGGTTTACAGAAAGTTCCTGGTAGGTTGAATAGATTATACAAAATAAAATGAAACTAAGACAGTTGTAAGCAAATGTTACAAGACTGAATTCTAATATTTGAAAAATTGTTAATGTGAATTATTTTGCTGTTTTTAATGGTTTTCTATGGCAGTGTTAAGTCTAAGTGGAAAAATAGATGGTCTGGAAGGGAGAGTATTTTAAGTGAAGGAATAAAGAGAAGTGAGAAGGTGTAAATTTCATATATGATAATGGATGGGTGAAATTATAATAGACGTAAGCCACAGATGTGATCATGACAGATATAAATAAGACAACATAATAAACTCTAGTTTTGAGTAGAAAAATTACGGGAAGAAAAAACCTCTTTATTTTGAAAAAATTAAATACAATTGAGTTGGTACTGCTCCATCTGGCAGTGGATAAATATATGCTTATTGGTCTGACTGCAAAATGGCAAAATTTATCACAATAATGCTGTTAATTGAACAGGACCTCACCTCAGCCATGCTTTGATTTCTTTAAAAACTGTAAGGTTTCATTAAATACTCATATTTTTTTTCTTTCTCTTTTTCTTTCTAAATAAGAATTTCTCCATGGCTAATTTGCAAATGCCAGTTAAATAATGAGTTTTAATATAGTATTCAGAGAGCTTTTCTCAAATAGCATTTTATTAATTGTTTTCCATTTTTTTTTCTTCTGCCTCTCATTTCAGAACGGTTTGATCACCACTGTCCCTGGGTAGGCAACTGTGTGGGGAAAAGAAACTACAGATTTTTTTATATGTTTATTTTATCTCTGTCCTTTCTGACAGTCTTTATATTTGCATTCGTTATCACCCACGTCATCCTTCGTAAGTATGCTGATGAAATCAGATTACGTATGTAGCCATTTGCTTGAGTTTTTTATTTTTAAGTTAATATTTTGATCATTTAGGGTTTATTTATTTTGTTTTTTATTTATTTACCTTTTCTCTTGAGGCTTCACAATCCCCAGTGAGTTCCATTCTGGTCTGTAGTAGACCTTGGTCATGGTAGTCATTGATCCTGTACTGGCTTTATCTTAATACAGTGTTAATGTACTCTCTTTTTTTTTTTTTTTGTCCCTTTATAGACAGTTTATTGGAAGAGCAGCACTCATGCTTTAAGTACACAGATAGTATTTTCCCAAAGAACTTTTGTGTGCTTTTTAACTGTAAGCATGGGTCACTTTCCATCCAAGCAAATAGGTAAATTACTTGGGAACAGATTGGAGCTGTTTTACACTTTTTGTTGTTTGCTGTTTAGTTTTACATTTTCTCTACCCTAGTTTAACACAAGTTACTTTCATTTGCATAGACATTCTGGGAATAAGCAATTTATAATGGAGTGAATTAGATAAGCTATAGGAAGACAAATATTCTTGAAATATTGAGTTTTATTTGTGTTTGGATTGGGTTTGAGGAGGGTATTTTCAATATTATTTTGGGTAGTGGGTTGTTTTTTTCCACACACAAGTTATTTTAGCTCTTGTGTGATGATTTCTAATTTATGGTGGTAGGTTGTATGATTTGCCTTTAAAGACCTTCTGTGTGTTGTGGGGGTTTTTTAACCCACTGCCATTAGGAAGCTTAATATTCTATCTTTTCACTAATTGCATAGCATATTGCCTTGAACAATACTTCTTTAGTAATTTTAGAAATGTGATTGTTTTTATTTCTTTATATTCTGTATTGCAATGGATACCTGATACAAGTAATAATTTCAGTTTATAACACATTTATAAAACTAACTTTGTATCTAGAGAATATTTAGAGAAAGTTTCAGTGGAAAATAGGCCAAATTGTTGTCAATTTCCTAAATTGCTTACACTGTGCAGGGAAAATTTGTATTTAAAAAAATCCTCATCGTCTTATTTGTGCTTCACAGAAGAAGGATAAGGGGACTGAGCAGCTCTCCTACAGCTCAGAAATCTAGCATATGTACTAGAGCTATGGGCACTTTTTATTTTGAGGGAGTTGGGATCAGCAAGTTGTTCTCATTGGCATGTACAGTGTTTTTAATGTCAATTGAAAGAGCAAAGAAGTACATGTTCTGTAAAAAGGTAAAAGTAATTATTGGGAAGAGAACACATTCCTTTAATGCTCAAATGCTTGAGATGTATTTGGGCATACATGAGCATATCCGTGCACACTTCTTACATAAAAGAAGAAGGAACATTTTTTTATCATCTTGCATTGCTAGGATTCAGAAGTTGAAAACATCAGTCTAACAATATAAAGCTACTTTTGAAGCTAGCCCACCTATATTTCATAATTTCATAAACAGTACTGTGCTTTCTTGCACTTCTCAGTATATAAATTACTGATATGCCAATATTTCATGTTCTGTATGTCAAGTGGATTTTAACTTTATAGTGTCAATACCTAATTCTAAGTACAAATTAGACCAAGAGCAGATAAATGAATTGTGCCTCTGTGTGGTTGAGCAGCACTTTAGCACTGTGTAGGTGTTAGAGATAAAGTATAGTAAATGCTAAATGCTGACCTAAGTATATCAGCTGTAAAACATTATCCCCATGGATGTTTATCTACCTTGAATGAGACAGAAAAACCCCTCCTAGTTCTAAGACTGTTCCTCAAAGGCAATGGGAGCAGGTATGAATTAACTGTGATTAGTTCCTTGGTGTTTCTGTGCTACATTTGAGCTTCAAGCCCAGTTTTCAAATGTATCTACTATAGTCTTTGCTGTGTCCAAAAATAGAGTTCTTTACAAATAATGTTTCTGTATCATATTCATTACTCCAATCTCTCTGTGCCTACAGTGCTTCTAGAATTTCTCTTTTCTACTTTTCTAGTAAGTTACCACTCAACCATTTTTGTTCTGTTCTTTTGCAGCCCTGTGGTTCTTCAGCTATTGCTAACCTTTAAGCAGGATTCTCAGTTACTTAATCTGAACATTTGCAGTTGGCATAGAATGTTTTGTGTTAGCATGTCTGAATAAAGTCTCAGTTTTTAGGCTTGGGACTATGATGTTCTTGCAGTGTTTCAAAGTCAACCGTATGTATTTTCCACCAGTTCTGGCAAAATTCTTGATTCTAGAGGAAATCCTGCTGACCTACTCAAATCCTGGTTTTCACTCTTCTAAAAATTATTCTAGCAGGATTACCTTCCCATCAGCAACACTTTATTCTAGATATCCTGTGTTAGACCAAAAGCCTTTTGACAATATTCATTTAATAAGGGACTGAGGGATATTAAGAGCACCTTGTAGGCAATTATGTTTAAAAAAATCGTTTATGTTTCACCTTAATTGGAAATCTACCCTTTCCAGGATTAAGAATCTTAGCATATAATATTGCTAAAGATGATAAGATGACTTTGTAAGTCAGATACTTTGAAAGTATTGCCTTTCATTTTCTTCCATCTCCCCGAGCTTAACACATTTTCAATAGCAGTGCCTGTCTGCACAGTTACTAACCTCTATTTGAGACATCAATATTTCCAGTCTATGTTGCATTTCCTCTTCTGATACTTTGGGAACTCCCTGTAAGAATGTGACCAGCAGTAAAGAATAGAGATCACATCTACCTGCTGCCATTGCCATTAAGGATCCTAAATATAGTAAGAAGGTAGGGCAAGTTTCACTGGTCTTTCACCTTGAGGGGTAAGAATCAATTATGAGAGTCTGAAAAGGCTCAGAAACCAGGTAAGTAACTTTCCCTTTTGAAAGGCAAACAGTAAAATTGACCAGCCAGATCTACAGAATATAAGTGTAAACAAACATGTATTTTTTCCTTTTTTTTTTGTTTTTAAATACAAGATTCTTCTCCCTTCATATGAATGTTCAGATCAATTTTGCTAGGGGGAATTTTTTTGCTGTGAGAGAGACTTTCAACATGATGCATCAAAATAATTTAAATTATAAAACACAAACTGTGTGCCTTGTGTGACATGGAGTCAGTTTCTAAAGACTAATTCACTCATTGCATATGTATCAGAAAATTTTCAAATTGCCCTTTTTGATCAATATATCATTTGTGTGGAATCCAGGTGGATGCTTCTGTATCTCTAGTTTATTTAGCTCTTTTCATCTAATAAATATGCGCCTGTTAGAAAAACCTTCTGTGCATGTGCAACAGGAGAAAGAATATACTCTAGAGAAGTTTGGCTTCTTCCAGGTCAAGGGAAGGAAAGTTGAGAATCTGGATTTATAGTATAAATTTTCCAAGTAAATAAAAAAATAAAAAAATTCAAAGTTAAAAAGGAGCTTGTAGGTTTTTTTGTTTCCGTATTAGGTCTGGAAAGAACAGGAATAATCAGAAATCTTATTCATGGGAAAGTATGCATGCATCAATTTACTATGTGTGAGAAAATACCCTGCAGATGTTAGACCTGATAACTTTCCCCATGTTTTTTTTTCTGATGTTGCTGCTGAGCAAAATAATCTCAGATTTATATTAGTAAATCTACTCTTATGTTTATTCAGTTTATCTTCAAATATTGATTGTGTTAACTATGCTGAAAACAGCCTATATTCCAGTTGCTTATTCAGCTGGTAATTTTGGGTTCTATTTCTACAGGTTCTCAACAAACAGGGTTCCTCAATGCCCTGAAGGACAGTCCTGCAAGATATCCTTTCACTGAAGTAGATTGTAGATCTTGTTACAAAGTACCATCTGAGATGTGGTTTTGCTTGTTTTCTTGCTATTATTTGATATGTACAGTTGGGTCTTTATCAGTTAAGGATTACATCACTTCCTGCACAACAGGATTTCTCACCCCATTTTGGATGTAGGAGGAGGACTGTACTTGGGATGGGTTTTATTCTTCGTCTTTTGCAGAGTAGTACTCTTGACAAAGGTCTAGTTTCCATGTGTGATTGAATTAATAAATAAATCTCACTATACCTGTGCTGTGATTTAATTTAAAATATTAAATAATTCTGCTTTTACAACAGAAAGTATCCAAAATGGCTGATTCTTGTGAGGACAGAAAAAGTAGATTGTGGAACAACTGAAACCATAAGCGGTCCTGGAAGTGTTCAATTTCTTAAAGTATTCTTACATTTATTTACTGGTTTTAGTGAAATAATTTTCAAGTATCAGCTACTGTTAAGTTACATAAAAGCATATGCGTGCATAGACAGGGACTGCTGTTGTTGTTCAGCCTGGAGAGGAGAAGGCTCTGGGGAGACCTCACGGTGGCCCTTAGATACATAAAAGGGGCTCACAAGAAAAACAGATTTTTACTTACAACTTCTTTTTTTCTGACTTTTTACTGGAGTCTTTAGTGATAGGCAAGGGACGCTAGTTTTAAACTAGAAGGGACATATGTCTCTGCCCATGGTGGAGGGGTTGGACTAGATGATCTTTAAATGTTCCTTCCAACCCAAACCTTCCTGTTCTTCTGTTCTGTAAATACTCGTAGGGCAAGAGGAAATGGTCTAAAGTTGCACCAGGGAGGTTTAGACTGGGTATTAGAAGAAACTTCTCCACTGAAAGGTTAACAAACACTGGAACAGGCTGCCCAGGGAGGTGGTTGAATCACCATCCCTGGAGGTGTTTAAAAGACATGTAGACGTGGTGCTTAGGGACATGGTTTAGCACTGGACTCGGTAAAGTTAGGTTAATGGTTGGACTCAGTGATCCTAAAGGTCTTTTCCAACCAGAACAATTCTGTGATTCTGTATTCTTTTTGTTACTCCTCAGGAGTTTTCTGTTTTTTCTCCTTGGTGGGAATTCAAAAAGGCTTCTCCTATCTGAGAGCAGCTAACAAAATGGAAACATTGGAAGCTGACATAATTTCTGTTTAAGTTTCTTCCTTACATTTCTCTACAGACTGTAAGCTTCCCACTCCTTATGTATATATTTTGAATGGTTTGTGTCTGAATAAGCAACTTGCACTTCTCACAAATCTACTATAAAAAGAAGTTTTCTTTTGTACTGTTGCTGAGTAAAAGTCATCTATCCATTGTGCCTCACAGAGTTTGTGCTTTTTCACAGAAGGATAGGAAGAAAAACTCTTACTCTGTCATTTGTAGTTTTGCATAAAAACAGGCTTCTCTTTCCAGGTAGTTTTTCCAAGAATCAAATTCTCCAAATTCTGCAGATACGATATTTTTTTTTATGTGTATGTATGTGTTTATCAGGTAGTCATGGAGCTTTAAACTCCCTTTTTAAGCAAGGCCATTGTTCTGATATAATTTTTTTTTTACAAATAATTTTACAAAGCACAAACAAACTGTTCTAAATAGCACAATAGCTTCCAGTTAAAACAATTACAAACACTTTTTTACAGAAGATTATTCTTTCAAACTATTTTCAAACTGAGGATAGCTTTCAGTTGTCCTTAAATCAAAAGTAATTGATTTTGCATTTGAAGATCCTTGTACAGGAACAGTGTGCTACTTATTAATAATTTGTATTCAGAGATGGGCTGATTTGAAAACCTCAGTTGTGCATCTTGTATAAATGGCCAGTTTTGATAGTAGTATGTTAGACAACTTAATAGCTTGGTTATAGTCCTTAACCATGAGAAATAAAAATGTCCAAGTAGAATTGGGAATGCTGCTTTGGGGCAAACTAGTCAATTCAGGCACAGAGAACATTGTTCTATCTTGGTAACAACCCTGTGTGAGATACTGTGGGCTAATGCTAGGAAGTTATACTTATATTGAGAATATTTGTTTTCGTACTTTATTTTTAATAGTGGACTCATGTTTAATGAATGGACTCGTGTTAATCTAACATAAATTATCCCTGCTGTTATAGAGGTCTTTGGATCTTGGTGTGGGGAACTGAAAGAAGTTGATTTCTTCAGGAAAGAAATCCCTTTCCTGCCTGTTTAGTCGTTGCCAAGAGAGGTACTCTGGGGTTTGATCTTCCCGTCACCCATCAGAAATGTGATTTCCTGTTACTTATCAATGTACTTGTCTTAATACAAGTGTGATTACTTTTACAGGATCAACATGAAAATTTGTATTTCATCAATTAAGATCAAAACCACGCATTGTAGTTTTTGATCTTTTTCAGTCTGCAGACCCTTAAGCATTTGGTGGTGCAGATGCTGTTCACTTAATCCTACTGACCATAGGCTTGTTTTTCTGAATTTAATTTTTGCTGACTCTGTTTGAACTACTCCAAAGATCTCAAGGGATTTGTGGACTAGCAGTCAACTACCCTGAATTTTGTGATTGTGACTACTTGTTATTGGATTTTATTTTTTTTTCATTTGCATATATTTCCTTGACTTTCAATTACTGTGCTGGAAGCTGTGGTGTGTTTTTTCTCAGTATGGTCTATTGTTGGACTCTCAGGTTTTCACACGTATTTGATCAGCTCCAATCAAACAACGAATGAAGATGTAAGTTCATAGTATATTTCTACATACACGTTTCTAAGTAGTAACAAGGAGGAGATTGTTATTCTAATGTTATGCAGTTTTCCTCTGTAAGTCATAAGAGAAGTCATACCTGCCTGCATAATTTTTAGGATGCCTCAGCAGG